TAATGAAAGTATGTTTTAAAGTTTTGTGATTAGAAATGACACTTAGTTTTAAAGTCTCATACATTGTTTGTAATGACACCCTAACACTTGCACTCTAATATCCTGGGATACTCTTTCCCCATAAGAAGTTATAGGCACATAAAATTATAAATATAATAATGAAAATATACTGTTATTTTATAAACAATTGGTAATTATAAATTGATTTTAATAAGTTTGTAAAGATTGAGCTAGGTATTTTATATAGTTAAGTTTTAATTTAATTAATTAAGTTTTATATAATAAGAGTTGTGCACTTACACACTTTATTGTTATAAAATTATATTACATAATTTATATAGAAACGTATTCATCGATTTTATTAAAATTTAGATTGGTAATTTTAATTGTTAACTATTTAAATATTAAACTTATAATATGAACATAAAATGTTTTTAAAAAATATATATTTTAATTAATAAAATAACAAATAAATTAATTTACTTTTACTGCCAATAAGTGTTGGACGAAATAATTAACAAATAAGTTTCTACCAAAACAGATTTGAAGTTAAATCAACCATAATTATATTTAAAAATTAATTTGCCAACAACACAATATCACTCGTAGAAATTACTATGCACAAATTTCTACACCATTAATGTTTTTATGGTATATAAAGTGAGTTATTTAAATTATACAGCACTTTTAACTATTGAACTAGATTAAGCACTCGTAAAAAACAACCTAGATAAAAAACACACACTTTTATCGCACAGTGGTTTGATTGTACAGAATATACCAGAATCTACTGTACATGTGATATGATATCATAATTTAGTGTTATATTTAAATACACAGCGAATTTATATCACGATTTATCGGCAAAAAAGTAAACAATTTATTATATTATTAGCCGAAGAGATAGTGTATTAAAAAACTAAATTGTGTTTAAAACCAGTAATAAGTTATGAGATTCAGAGTCTAATCAAACGAGAAAAACACTTACGATAAAAAATATATGGTCTCGTTTGATAAGAAGGTACTTTTTATTAATTATTTAGGACAATATTATATGATATTACAATATGTATGAATATTAATATTGTATTTAATTAGGTTTCATTATATTGTTTGTTATAGTTATCAATCAAATAATATAAATTAATTGTTTGACGAGTATAATAACAAAATGTCAAGAATCGTGCCTAAAGTATAGTGTGATTGTGTGTTTTAGTAGAGCATGTTTAGAAATTGCATTCTCATCTAGATTTATTAGTGTATTTAATTATAATTATTTATTATAAACGCTTACCGGTCTGTGATGTGCTGGAAGTGGTGTCGAAATTAATGGTTAAACTAATTAATAAATCACTTAAAAATCGATATTAATTACAGTAATCGATAATTTAAATTCATTTCGGTATTTATTATACTTTTTAATCATAAGTTATTCACAAATATATTTTTAATTTATTAATTATACTAATAATCATTGGTTTGTAAGTAAGAAATGGACCGCAAACATTATTTAATACATCAAGTACAATTTTGGTACTATTAATTGACACACTGCGAAAGACATGTAAAATGATTATTTAAGTACAATATTACATTTTGGCTAAAATTTAATTAATACTTACGTTAAACGCAAATATGTTTTCAATTAGCAAATCGTGTCGTCAATTAACATCATTATAACCAATCGATTGGCAAAAATATAATAATATAACACTAATTAATTAGACGCCAATAAAATAAACGTAATTTTACACAAACAATAACCAATGTCAAATTAATTAACTATGTGCAAATTTAATTAAAACACATTAATTGTTAGACTAATTACAAATTAATATTCAATAAGTCTGAAAAAACAATTTAATAATTAGCGAATTGGTGTCAATAACAAGATTGTTTATGCTCTATGTAAGTTTGGAAATATACGCTAATTAATCACCATGCTTATTATCATCATGGTTTAGTCCTTCCTATTTGCTTTAGTTCATATCTTAAACCATTTTAGATAATATAGTATCTAATATAATAAATGTTATTTAGGTCTCGAAATTATTAGCATTTTAACATTTATCATTTTT